ATGACTTATGTTATTTCCAAAGAGTGACAATTAGTTTGCGGGACTGGATTTTTAAAGAGCACTCTGAATTGAGATATTCATAGGACTTTTGTCCTTCAGGAGAAAGACTCTATTTAAATTCCAGTAGTACAATCATTGAACAACTAATATAGTAGAGGTGCCAACCAACCAATGAGACATTCAACCAATAAAAATGCTCGACCAAGTAGAACCGCAGCAGATTGTAAGTAGCCTGTATGCCCTATTTGGAGGAGCCAGGCTGTGATACCCACTATAATTTCAGAGAAGGTTTTCTAAACCACTTGATGCCTAGCTACGTGAATGAATGTTCACAGGCAATGCAAGGGAGCCTAGAGGAGAGGTCCCACTGGTGGGTAGGCTGCTCTTCCTTTTCCAGGCTGCTTCTGTCCTACCTGCTGGAGACAAGATGAGAGAATACAGAGCCCAGGAGTCTGGCTGGGAGAAAAGAGGCATCTACTATCCCATGAGCAAATCTCCCAAGTGGAGAGAAGAAGCCCATAATCCAGAGAGACTAGGGCATGCATCCAACTAAGCAACCCAGTAAGAAAATGCAGGCAGTTCAAGGTTTCTCAACGCTGGTTCTCATAAGCCTGCAACCAACACTCTTAGAGAGTTTCTTAAAAATGTAGACTCCTGGCCTGCACCCTGCATCCAAGGAATCAGAACCAGTGAGAATGAAGCTGAATTTCGCACTTTATACCAAACTGTCAAGTCCTCCTTAGGCATGCTGAAGGTTGAGAATCAAGAAGACCATACAGCATGGCTTGGAGATGGAATGAAACAAGGAGAGAACTCTTGACTGAGTCACGTGGGGCTGGATACCTGGCACCACAATTAGAGATTCAATGCAGGGGACCAAAGGGCTTCCTAAAGAATAGCATCTGTCTTCCCTGGCAATTCTCACCCCCTGCATAGAACCTACATAGTTTCATTATGAAAGAGACATCATAATTTTGGTGATATTAATTCTTACAATCCACAAACATGGAAGATTTTTCCATTTTCTGTGTCTTCTATTTCTTTCATTACTATTTTGTAATTTTCATTGTAGAGATCTTTCACATCATTGGATAAATTTATTCCAAGGTATTTAAATTTTTTGTTGCTATTGTGAATGTACTGATAAGTTCTTTCTCAGCCACAGCACTGTCAGTGTACAAAAAGGCTATTGATTTTTCTGTGTTGATTTTATATCCTGCAACTTTACCAAACTCTCTTATGAGTTTCAATAGTCTCTTAGTGGAGTCTTTTGGTTCCTCTCTCTCTCTCTCTCTCTCTCTCTCTATATATATATATATATATACATATATATATATATATATAATGTCATCTGCAAACAGGGATTATTTGACTTCCTCCTTTCCAATTTGCATCCCTTTGATTTCTTTTTCTCGCCTAATGGCTCTGGCTGAAACTAATGTATGCATTGCTATATTGAATAGCAATGGTGAAAGTGGGCATCCTTGCCTGGTTCTGGATCTTAGTAGAAATGCTTCCAACTCTTTCCCATTCGATATGATGCTGCCTGTGGTGTTGTCATGTATGCCTTGATTATGCTGTTGAATGTTCCTTCTGTACCCAATTTTCTTAAGATTTTTATCATGAAGCAATGTTGTATTTTATCAGATGTTTTTTCTTCATCTATTAAGATAATCATGTGTTTCTTACTCTTTTTAATTAGTTAATGCAATGTATCACATTGATTTGTGTATGTTGAACTGTCCCTGCAATTAGGGA